AGGCTATACAAAGTGAAATAAAGAAACTTGTTTACAACCGGAAGCAAGTTCAGGAACTGTTGAAACGTGTCACTCAAGGAGCTGAATCATTGCTTCTGTTTACTCAGAATGTTCGTCATATCAGCATCTACCATTTACCTAATGATGTAACTGAGCCGTTACAGCCCAGGAAAATATTTGAGGTCACCAAATCATTATCACAGGATGGAGTAAGACGGGAACTGCCTGATAAAATTACTCTTCCAACTACTGCCATGAAGCTGAGCACAGAAGATCAGTTCTTATTGAAACAGTGTAATTTTCTGCGAGCGTCATCTGAAGTCAGCAAGCTAAGCCGTGGATACAGCGAGTCCGCTCCCGCTCTCCTTAGCTCTGCTCTGACACTGAAGATCAAAAGCACCGTATCAGAATATGGCAGCAGTTTCATGGAATGTAGCGTTTCTAGTAATGATGAAATTTGGCTTGTCGTCTCATCTATGGGCAAAGGTGCAGCGATGCAATTCGCGAAGAAAGACAGCAGTCTTCTTGCATCAGCGGGGGTTGGTGTTCAGATCTCAACTAAAGATTCTCTAACTCCGGTACCTATTTGCGATGAAACCAAAGGATCAAAGGCAAATGGGAATGTTTTTTGTTATCTTCCACTTCCCATCTGTAGTGGACTACCTGTACACATAAACGGAACGTTTGCAGTTTCCTCAAACAGACGAAATTTGCTGGTGAAAACCGAAGATGATAAGGCTAATTTTGGACAAGAGTGGAATGAAGTGCTTTTAAAAGATTGCGTTTGCTCTGCATATCTTGACCTTCTTGAAGACTTAAAGTCCTTTTCACAGGCCTTAAACAATGCATACCAATATCACACACTGTGGCCAAAATGTGACGAAGTAATGTCAACTTGTGAGCCCCTTGCACGTTTATTCTATGAATATCTTTTAAATGGAAATAAGGCTGTTTTTTCGGATGGCAAGAGTTGGTTGGCCATCAATGAAACTGTCTTCCTAACGCCAGACCTACGTGAGGATTCTCAAATAGGAGACGTATGCTTCGAAGTGTTCAAATTGTTGGTTGAAGGTAATGGAGCTGTAATTGATCTACCCAGAAATGTGTTTGAGTCTTTTAAGAAGTATGGTCTTGCTGAAAAAATCCACTCCCGAAGCTACGATACGAGTAGGTTCTTTTTGGAATTGTTCTTCCTAAACATTGGTTTAGTGCCCCCTGACCTGAGGGACAACTTGGTCTTGTATGCCCTTGATTCTCAAAGAGAAGAGTTGAATAATGCAATGAAAGTGTATGCTTGCATTTCCGTATCACCAGATCGTCATAACCTTAAATGCCCCTCTCAACTTATTGATCCACGTAGATCTGCAGCGTTGTTATTTTCTCCGGAAGATCAAAGGTTTCCTGTAGAGGCATTCAGACAACCTTTTCACCTCCATCAACTAGAGCAGCTTGGAATGTTGACAGACGATCTTCCGTGGTCTGACGTTGTAGAAAGGGCAGAATCCGT